TATGGGTCCGTCATCGTTATTCATAATATTATTGTGTTTACTCATTTCCACACTATAATAGGCATCTAGTTGCCTGTTGTTGTTAACTTGTCTAGCTAATCTTAGTGGAATGAAGTCTACGGAATGATTTTGTTGCAAAATATGATGGGCGACTGCTGATTTTTCAGGTCTTCCATATTTTAAGTGTGCCATGTGTTCCTTATATCTTACATTAATACATCTTTTGTCTGTCCATAATATTTTGCATCGCAGTCCTTACATTCAATTTCGTAAATTCCAGACTTTTCCGAATTCTCGACTTTGTCTTTAGGACTTCCCAAAAGGATCTATAGTGTATGACTTGTTTTAAAAACCACCTTAATAACTAGTTCCTTGAAAATCTTTCCAAAGTTTTTCGTATATTGGTGGTATGGAACTGAGATGTATTTATCTTGGTTTTTGTCCTTTCTGAAAGTCGAGATTTCGTTCATTCTTCACCTATACTTTTTCTTTCTTATTATGTCATCTACAATACCCCTCGAGAAACCGTTAGTGGTTGTTATTTCCTGTATTGTACGTCTTTCTTTTGTGAACCTATCATGTGTTAGAGGTAAAGTCAAAAGACGATGCACTAAAAAATTCAACCCAGCACGTTTGTGCTGTCCACAATGATGTTAACTGTCAGGAATATACCTGTACGTGCTTGTTTCTTTTCTAAATATATCGTATTGTAATCCTCCATATTGGCTCCTCATTAGTAAAACGTCAAGAAATGGTAGTTGTCCCTTATTTTCTAACTCATACGTGAATTTTATTGATGGACATTTATTATTTGAAAAGGAACCAAAGTCCTCACTATTCGATTTTTTGGTATCGAATATCGCGAAAATATCATCCACGTACCTTCGACAAATTCTAGGAAAATACTTCGACTTTTCTTTGGTTTCCATTTCGAATCTGCACATGAACAGGTCTGCCAGGTAGGGGGACAAGGGGTTTTCCATGGCCGTTCCTTCCTGTTGTTCATAAAAGCAACCTTCTACCTGGCATCGATTTTGTTTCATTCACAAATTAGTAAGAGAAACGAATTCATCGATTTTTCGTTATTATTGAAATTATTTTTCTCTAGTAATTTCCTGAGGTATTGCAAGGTCTGTGTAATTGGGACGCTAGGAAATAAGGAACTAACATCAAAAGAAACCAAAATCTCACCTTTTTATAGAACCATGCTTTTCGTATGTTTTACCTAAAGAGTTTTTGATACTAAAACCTGGATTCGCAATAGACAAGGTTTCAAATTCCTTAGTGAGCCACTTTGCTATCTGGTAGATAGGAGCTCCAATAGCTGAAACGATGGGGCGCATCGATTTTCCCGGCTTGTGGATTTTAGGGAGGCAATATTTCGACACCGTTGGGTTTAAAACTTGTAACTTTCGTTTCAGTTGAGGGATAAGTATGTTGTCGCATTTGTTGAAGACGTCTTTTACTTCGGCAATCATCTTTGGTAACCGGTTCCTGGACAATTTCGCATACGGTCCGTTAGTAATGAGAGTATTGACTGTCGGCTTTTAAATAAAAAACGTCCTTGTCTTTCAATCGTTTGATAAGTTTTTTTGGTTTTTGTCGTTGTTTATTGAATGCTTCCGTTTATCTGTTATCTTGTTCTTGGAGATTTGATTCCTGACCTTTTCTCGAACTAGTCCCTTCGAGGAATCGGGCATATATTGAATCGAACTTTCAACACCAGCAAACGATATCCTCAAGAACTTTTTCGGAAGGCGGGATGCCAAATTTCAAACCGTTGTTCAAAATAGAATAGAATAGACTAGAATCGAAAGTTATTTATACTGAACAACAAACAGAAAGTTTTCCACTTACATGATGTACAGTTGTTTCAAAAGTGCCTTACATAAAGTATTCAGTGAATACCATTGATACAGTTAAAATCTATATAAAACTAGTTGTTGCCCGCGGCTTCGCCCGTGTAGAATTTGGTAGTTGTAGTACTAATTAGTACTATGTTGCTGTATCGCTGCTATTCCAATATTTTGACGGAATCAGAATCAACGAACTTAGGCGTGTACAGCGTTATAGAACAGTGTTTTCAAAAAATTGTTCTACAGCGCCATCTAGTGACGAGTTACAGAAAAATTGATTGCCTAAAAGCCTTCTCTATGAAAAATTATTTATACATGTCAAGTTTCATCACGATCGGTTGGGCGATGTAGAAATTTATCTCTTACCAACCAACCAACCAACCAACCAACCAACATCCACTTTTATATATTAGATATTACAATGTAAAACAGTAAATGATAAAATGGCCGTATAAAGATTCAGAAACACTGGAGCATTCGGAGAAGTTTTCCCTCTGTAATACTGAATGTATCCAGTTCACAGTTCCTCGCCATTTTGTTAACTATTTCGAGACATTGTTGAAGAGGAGACAAATTGTTTGAGATACGAAATAGATTGTCTCTTCTTCTCAGTCTTACGTCAGGTACAAAAAAATCAATATTATAGAGAATTTCAGGTATTTTCAGTTTTCTAAGAATGTTGAAAACAAAAATTACTTTCGAGGACTCTTTCAATGGTTGCATGTTGAATTCTTGTAATTGGCTAGAATCTAATATATAAAAATGGATGTTTGTTGGTTGGTTGGTTGGTTACTAAGTGATAAACTTGTACATCGCTCAACCGATCGTGATGAAACTTGACATGTATGAGTAATTTTTCATAGAGAAGATTTTTAGGCTTTCAATTTTTCTGTAACTCGCCAATAGATGGCACTTTAGAACAATTTTTTGGAAGCACTATTCTATAAGGCTGAGCACGCCTAAGTTTGTTGATTCTGATTCTGTCAAAACATTGGAACAGCAGCGATACAGCAACATAGTACTAGTATGATATAAATAAAGGCCAAACATTATGTTTTCTGAAAAAGAGTGTTGTCAATAATCGTTTCTGGACTTTTTCATTAGTTTCAAAATATAAAAAGACCTTTGGATTCCAAATGACACAACCATATTCCAGCTTAGAACGAACAATGGAGTTAAATAGTAACAAACAAGTATCAAGATTGAATTCACGGCTAGATCTTAAGATAAAGCTCATTTTTCTATAACATTCAGATACTGAGAATTCAATGTGCCCAGAGAAACTGAACACACCAGTGAAAATGATCCCGAGATCTTTCATCTCAATGGTTCTCTGTAAATTGGTATGATTAATGAAATAGTCCTTGATAGTAGGTGACTTCTTTTATGTGAAACTCATTATTTTGCATTCAGCTTCGTTGAGAGATAGGTCAGATACTGAAAAGTAAGTAGATAGATTATTGAGATTATCTTGAAGCATATCAGAATATTTTTCGCTTTCAATTCTTCTAAACAGCTTGAGATCATCGGCATATAGGAGAAATTGAGAGTGCCCGATATACCGAGAAATGTCATTAACAAATAACACGATATGGAGAGGTCCCAAAATCGAGCCCTGCGGAACTCCCGAAGTAGCAGTGAATTTGAAGGANGCGGTTGAATGTCGAATCGACCCACTCACATAACCTAATCTACAGTTCTTAAAATACAGAACTAGTTGCCGTTCTGCGAGAAGTTAACATATCGAATTAAACTTTATTCACACACAAGATTCCGGCATAACATTTATACCCTCACCGTACGGTTTTTTCAGCTAGGCAACTCCCTCTAAAACACATTTTCCAAAAGACTTTGTATATAGTATTACTCAGTAACAGTCATTTTCACAATAACTGTATGCCGAAAGGAAAAAGACGACTGGTGTAGTGTTCATATCGCAGTTGCTAATGTAAATTCAGCTCAACAGTCCATGTGAACGATTAGAGGTATTTAGACAGAGTTATATCAGAAACTTTTGTAGTAAGTACTTTTTATTGTGAGCTTTGTATAGCAGATGGCGCTGTTGATATTTTCCACCAGTTGTGGTGAACAGAATAAGTAGTGATGACTGCTCTGGTGGTCAATAGATCAGAACCTCTGTGTGTTTCTAGGAATCGTAGCTTCTTCCCGTTCATTATTAGTTGAAAAGCTACCTTAGATAAAAATATTCGGATGTAATCGTTGTGATTCCAACAACAACACACTTCAGGAAGAGTTTAGTATTACCTTGAAATATAATAACCTATTATCTGATGTGTACTTGTAATTATATAGCCTCGGATGTGCAAATTGGAAAATGAGAGTTGTTTACGAACTGAAGACGAACCCCCGTTGACTCTCAAATAATACCCAACCTTGAAGCCGTTGGGTTTTGAAATTATATGTTTTTCGGCATTGATATCAAGTTTACTGTCCATCGTTCAAATCTTGAACCATTTTGAGTCTTATAGGTATCGTGACGAAATTCCAATATCATTCAAAGTCTCACTTATCGGCTGTGAATGTTCATTTTGAAAAGCTGCACCTAGGTATATGAAAAAGAAAAGTTCTGTTCATCTAATCAGACATCTCTTTTCAATTTGCATTTCATTAGTTCGGACTGCTATTGTCAAATGTGATATAAATTGATTTGAAATCCCTGAAAATATCTATAAAAAATTTAAAAGAAATTAGAGTGAAAATATTTGTGAGCTATGACGCATCAACTCTTTACTTGAAGGAATATTGAATATTTCTACAGAAATATCTGTGAAAGAAGTTGAATCTGATATAACCGAGACTAGAACATATATTTCAATTTCGAAACTATTCAGAATCGAATACATCATCAACTGATAAAAACAATGGTAAATGGAATGATTTGATTGATTGATTGTCCGAATGAGTCTATTTCTCCAACGGAAATAGCAGTTCTGAATCATTTCCTGATGGTGAGAATTGAATCATATCATATAATGATTGTGTAGGTCACTATTCTAAATAATTTTTGTGTAAATGATTCTTGGGAAGACTTTACTTTTCCTTACAACAAATTGATGAATTTTAGTTCCTGTACTTCAATGTGATTCGTTCAAAGGTACTTTTATGCAAAGCGTCCATACTCACCAAAAATTCATCAGTTAAAATATTCACTTTGGCGTTTTTTTTATTTCTCAGATTAATCAAAGATTGCAGAAAATCTGAACAGATGAATTTGTTTTCCTTCCTGTAACTTATGCAGTCCTCAACAAGTTTCAAAAAAAATTCTGCTACTTCTTTCTTGATGTATCTCAATCCTGAAAATATAAACCGAACTGACAAACAATATTACTAACAACTGATATACGTTCGATGCCTTTATGAAAATATCGTTATCCTGATATAATCCTCCATATTTCCATTTAAAAGAAGTTTTCTCTTGATTCATTACACTCAAAATATATCAAAAATGATGAATTTTACTGAGAGCGGTTGACAATATTCCATATTGAAGGTTATCAAACTTGCATTGTTCAAAAATTCTAACTGATTCAGAATCTAAAAGAATAATAGAACCTTAGTATATTGTTGAATGAGTTTGAAGTTAAACTAATATTACAACGAAATAGAAGTTAGCAGTAACATGTTAAAATGATAATTTGTAAAAAGCGAACTTTGACGAATAAAAAAGGAAAAGTATCAGTACATAGATTAGATATCAATTTATGAATATTTAATGACATAAATAAATGAAGGAAGAAATAAAATGATAGTGGAAACACAATAGAAGTAAACAAAAAATTTTTTGATTATTGATATTCACGGCCAATTCAATTCTTCTCACTGAGGACCGAATCAGGTTATCAGGGTTTCCAAGAGCTGCACTCTCACCATCTGACCTGAAACATTACTGACCATATAAACTAATTGGCTCCGTCGAGAAGCTGGGTTTATTTGGTCGAGTGTGAATAGGTGTGAGTCACAATAAACAATTGCGGGTTGCGGTTGAATGTCGAATCGACCCACTCACATAACCTAATCTACAGTTCTTAAAATACAGAACTAGTTGCCGTTCTGCGAGAAGTTAACATATCGAATTAAACTTTATTCACACACAAGATTCCGGCATAACGTTTATACCCTCACCGTACGGTTTTTTCAGCTAGGCAACTCCCTCTAAAACACATTTTCCAAAAGACTTTGTATATAGTANCCATGAAGACATGAACGGCGACGAGTTTATATTTGATTAAAGTATGTTTGACAAAAAACTATTGACAAAGTTTTCGTTGCAAGAAGAAACACGATATTTCGATCAAAAACTGTTGTGAAACTCTTTAAGGAGTCCATTGAGAATGCCGATTCCGAAAAGTGGCGAAAATTTATTGAACATGTTATAAATAAAATCAGACCATTCAGTTGGAGGAATTGTAGAACCACCATTACTATTATACAATTATACAATGTTAATTGTATTCGAATTGAATGAAGATAGTTATCAGTTTCAACAAATACTTTTGATTGCATACCCAAACGTACCTTACTGCAGGTAATAAAAGGCTCGAAAGCTCATGAAAGATTTTGTATGCGGGTGGAAAATATTGAATCACTTCTTCAAGGAGTGTGATGAAAAAATGTACTTTGTGCGAATTTTGCGCTTAAGCTTTCATAGATCAACATGTTCCACTAGTAATAGTATTGCACCAAACACTAATACTTGATACATTGAAAACATCAGTATTCAAAATTGTTTTAAAATAATTAAACGCATATAACTCAAAAGTCATATATTTTGGGTATTTAAACATCTCTCATCATATTCAGTATATTTGAAGCATGAATTAATTTGAAAATAACTTTTCATTTCCAAACACTATGTTATCTAAACTATTTTTCGAAAACAATATATTTTGGACTAAATTAATGTTTCACGAGGTACCCAGATATAAGAAAATGAAAATTGGTTGAACAGCTGGATCAAAGACGAACAGTTCTAATTTACACAATGAACCTGATACCCTTGAGCGTCAGGCTAATTGCACACACACCGATTGTGGACCGCCGATTTTATACCGGTCGTCCAAATTCCAATAGTGAGCCACATGTGGCAACGGGACCTTGCACACATGCTTACCGGTGTTCGACGCCGATCACCGGTCGGCCTGTGTGCCAGGTCCCGTTCCCACATGTGGTTCACTATTGGAATTTGGACGACCGGTACAAAATCGGCCGTCCAAAATCGGGGTATGTGCAACTAGCGTCTCCGATCCTGACCGGCAAATAACGCAAATTGCACACACACCAATTTTGGACGGCCAGTATAAAATCGGTCGATATTTTATTGGTAGCGGGTGCTTGCACACTCACCGGATTTTTATCGGTCAAACAATCAGTTGCTTTGTTGTCGTAATTAGCACGCACTACCAAAACGAAGTT